AACTTTACGCTTACTGTATGCATTTGCTAATTAATAATACTTCTATTATAATTGATCTACTATCAAAATGTATGTAGCAATAGCATAACGATCAAGGAAAGCGTATTGGATGATACATCATCCTTAAATTGATGAGGATTTATGAGGTAGCTAACGTTTCATCAGGTGGCTAATAGCGCTAAATATAACGACTAATGGGGGCTTAACAGCATTTAAAGTGGCACTACGTCCCAAATGTGACGTCATAGATGGCGCGCGGGCAGTATGCATTCTGGTGTCTGGTTAGAGCAAGCGTGGCTCGATGTGATTTGGGCAGGTGCTTCATCGAAACCAACCAAGCAGGAGAAACGAAAGTATGTCTGCCGGCTCAATAATAATTATTATGACGTGGCTTGTGGAATTGTTACTTCAACGTATTCATACATTATGCTGACACCATCCTGACACATATTTATAGTAACTCGCAAAAAGGCCGCCTAAAGTGGGTTTCGTATAAATATAATATGACTTTAGTCATTATTATTCATATTGCATCATATAATGTGTTCGTGTTATTCATGAAGGAATAAGCATACCGTACCCTTTGTATACTATTCGTAACACATGTTTTATTTAATTAAGCTATACTTCCTATATCCTATAGGCCTACAACTAGTAGGCCTATTTTTTACATATTGGTAGACTCTAAAATAGATTAAATAAGCCTTTGAAACCCCTAAATTGTTAAAATTTTCGGGGGATTCCCCCTGGACCACATTCGAAACCTTTTAATCGAAGCTCGATAACGCCCACACCCCCCATGAATCCGCCCAGTTGTATCATTTATTATACTCATTCTGTGATGCCCAGTCCAAATATAATTCGTCGCGGAGAAAAAAAAAATTATATGTATTTTCTACATATTGGTAGACTATAAAATCGAATAAATAAGCCTTTGAAACCTCTAAATTGTCAAAATTTTCGGAGCCTTTTAATCGAAGCTCGATCACGTCCACTTTGCTTTCGTCGGGGAAATCTGACCCCTCGTCGGGGACCTCTCCCCCACCCCCGTCGGGCAAATCCTGGCGCCACCCCTGAATACATGCTAAATTGTGATGGATGTAGACATTCCATTTTCGTATCGTATTGACTTACCTATTCTCTGCTGTTCCTTTTACTGTACTAACGTAATTTGAATACGGTAATGAATTCTCACATGTGTTGCTTTTGTAGCGTGACAAGTCCTCGTCCAATATTTTGTAGACTCGTGTTATTGTAAAATTATTTTTAACGATATTTTAATGGGCATAGATAGGAACTCAAAATATGCCAATAATGCTAAGAAATTTAAAAGAATGGTGCAACGATATATTTCATTCAGAGCTGTGCACGCGTCTGGACGGTAAATCGGCACAAACATTTTGTCTTACTCAAATTGAGCTGTGCACGCGTCAAGTTGGACGGTAAATCGGCAAAAACATTTTGTCCTTACACAAATTGGGCTGTGCACGCGTCTAGTTGGACGGTAAATCGGCACAAACATGTTGTTCTTACTCAAATTAGTATATGATGGCAAATAATTATAAGTACAATAATAGCCTCATTGCGTCTGTACTGTTAGCGCTGCATTGTGAACCAGTGGCGTATCTCGTATCTGGAGACTTGAAATGGAGGGGGTGATAGGTTAGCGCGAAGTTGAAGTGGGGAGGGATCGATGATTATGTGAGGGACGCTAGCTCACAAAATAAGATGATATGAGGTCCCATTTTTTATTTATTATTTTTTCCTTCCAACATTTTTAACTGGAGAAGACTAACCACTGGATACGCCACTGTTGTGAGCTCCAATTTCGTCATGAAAGTATTCTGTTCTAATGACTGTAGTTCCCAGTCTATATATTTTTTTCTCATTAACATGATATCACTATATTGAATCCATCTTATCATTGTTACGCTTATCTAATGGAAGCGATAATATTTCGTCAAACAATGTAAAACATCGCAAATGATCAAATTTAATTTCAAAACATCATTATTCTGTTATCATTTTATTTAATGGTTTCGATAACAAGAAGATATAAAGTTAATTCAATTTTAATGGATAAGTTAGTGTCCCCGCTATTAACTGTTTATCTTGCCATGTAAATTATTTTCCTTTGTTATCTTTATCATTTTTTTCTTATCGTCTTTTTAATGTTCAATAATTCTTAAAGAGCGTCACCAATTAACGAATAGACATGCATACTACTCAGCTCCTTCATGCAACTATTGAACTATAAGGCCAAATAAAAAACAATTCTTGTTTCCCGTCCCCTCCCTCATCGTTTTTTTTTAGGCTGCATCATTTTTTTTTTTCCTGTTATTTTTAAAATTTTGGGTTTTTTTGCATCGAAAATGCAAAATTTCAATTGCTGACACATTTTATAGTTTACAAGTTTGCATATAGAAATGAGCTGGGATTTAAAAAAAAAAGAGCGACAATGGCGACGCCTACTCAGGGTACACCACTGTAACAAGGAAGTTTTATCAAGCTTATCAATTCGTAACACAGGTCAAAACAATTAAGGAGAAAATTTAAGAAATAGTCATTTTATTGAACCCTTTATAATACGTTTTGGTTCGATTTTTTGACAGGAATCCTTTGATTTTGTTAGTGTTAATTGCAACACTTATTAAATCCTTCTTTCTCTAGAGCCAGCTTTGCGCTCTGACGACCCTCAAAAGTTCTTCAACGACCCAAACGTTGGTTGTGACCCATGTAGTTGCCGACCGAAGCAGTAAACATTTTTATACTTCATTTATGTTATGTTATATTTTAATGTAATCTACTTTGTCTAGCTTACTACAAATCTACTCAAATTCAGGAAATTAAAAAAAAAACATGTAATAGAATTATAATTATGATGATGATTGATGAAGATGATGATAATTATGACGATAATGATGATGTGGTGATAATGATAATGATTGGTGATGATGATAAATAAATAACCCTCGAGGTCGGGGGTTCGAAACTTTCGCTGTGCAAATCGTTGGACAAGGCACTTTATCTACGGTTGCCTCTCTCCACCCAGGAGTACAAGTGGGTACCTGGTAGGTTCCAACACAACTGCACTGATTACTAGCTGCAATATTATGGAATAATAATATAATTTAATTTAATAATTTAATTTGGTGTTCAGTATGTGTTCCATATGTGTTTGATCCAATGACCGGGTAGTAATGTGAAGCGCTTAGAGGCTTTGTGCATGAAGCGCTATATAAGAACGTCGGACTATTATTATTATTATTATGGTAATATAGACGGTGTGGATGAAGATTATTATTATTATGAAACTATTGTTTTATATAAAAAAAAAAACCACATATAAATATATTTCCGATCAATGATACTACAGGAAAAGAAAAGCAGTTTCAATAAGTTACAGATACATTTAAATTAGAAAAATAAATAAATAACTTTCAATTTTGACACTTTAAAAAAAAAGTTGCATTATATCTTTATAAGTTTTTAATTTTAGATTATGCTTAGTTAGATCGTTTTGTAGTAGTAAGAAGAGATTTTGATCTATATCCACCAACTGCTAAAGGGCACTACATGTTAGTGCAAATTTAAGAGAATGGCCGGTGAAAATTCAATTAATCTCAAGATTAAGTGTATATACCCGTTCAGAAAGCTATTATCTTTACAGCTTTTTTTTATTCGTCCTGATCATTTATTCCTAATTATTTTCTATTTACTATGATTACTGCTTAAAAATTCCATGTTTGTTCGATTTAGGGGATTAGTGATGAAAAAAAAAAGAATATTCAATTAATTTAGGGACGACTGAGATTCCAATATTCCTCGATAATTGCCAACTTGTTAAAATTAAATAAATAAAACATCAATGGAGACCCATATTGCTTCATGAAAATTCATTAATTCGGGAGAATTGAGAAATTGATAAACCTCTTAATTAATTCATGACTGCTGAGTACTAACTTACCTCAGTATATCGATCTTTTAGCGTAGAATTTCAATGTTTTTTAATAACACTAATAGTTAATGGCTATGCTAAATTAATATACAGATTCAACTTTATACTAATCCGGTCCACACAGTCATTGTCGTACGGTATCATAGGCATTATTATCATCTCCCAAGATTTAAGCGAAAACGTTTTGAGAAAATGGATGGGAAGGTGAGGAGATAGAATGCCTCGATGACGTAATAAAATATACGCAAGCGAGAATTCAACTTCTGTTTTGTCAGTCTTTGCTGGAGTCAGGGTCTGTGCTATTGTTATTGAAATAACAGGTGCCTTTTGCTTTATAGAATTTAAATACAGTACATTCTCACATTTGTCATAATTTGTAGGCCTAGATAGGCATACAGATATGAAAAAAATGAAAGAGGCCTAATTTGATTTTATTTGTTACACCTCCTTGGGTAAGGGAAAATAAAGTAGGCCTACGAAACGGTTATATTTTACATATTCTGTGGTGATATTATGAGATCCTAGCCGCGCACATACCCGAAACAAACCTTGCTTGCTTAGCTCGCAAACTACGGTAACTAATCGCACAAGGGTCACAGCATGATTGCTCTTAGGGCCCCCATTTTTGAATAACACCGCCGTCCTTCCACAAAGGTCCTGTACACCCAGCCAAGTCTAACAGAATTATAAGTACGTTACTGTCGAATCTTCATCTCAATCCTAAGATGACTCTACCAAGAAACCCACATACTCAACTTCCATTATTATCGACCTACCAAGTCAGTCGATGATCTATTAACTAACAACTCGACCGAATGTCCAGAAAGCTAACCGACAGCTTCTGCCTGCCGATTGGCTAACAATGACCGACCCGGCTTAACAGAGTTTAACCAGCGTGGCTCGTCCCGTTGACCACTTTTCATTACCCCCGACTGATGCAGGCCTAAAACCACTTGAAATGATAAATTGTGTATTAACCCAGTCACGTCAAAATATAATAAGCTAAAAGAATGACTCGAATTAATTGCAATTAAAGACTTACTGCGGTATCTCAGTATCGACTTGAAGATAAAAATGCTCCCTAACGTATCACATAATAATAATAGTGCCATGACGTTCCTCTGGGACTGACCAATAATATATGAGCCAATGGCCTCGAGCCTTTTGGTCAATTATGGAAATGAAGGAAAACGCCTAATATAAGCACAAATTAGATATTAATGATTTTGATTAAACTATGCAATACCGTACGATTAACGCATAGCAATCCCAATTAATACAGGTAAACTTAAACCTATTAACACCATAACACTATATATTATTTCTACCTAGTAATATACTATGGGACGTGACCTATATAATATATTACATCATCGTCACCATATTAAAGGCCTATATCATATCGTCTTACACGTTACTCTACATTATAATATATTGGTATATTATATTTTGTTCCATCGGTAAATGTTTTTATTCATCATAGTGGATATTTAATAATATCTAATAGTGAATAGGCCTCGTCGGTTATGGCCCATTACGACAGAGGGCGGTAGAGGCGACGGACATAATCTGTTGAACCATGGTTGAGCGTCGTTAGTGCCTGAGGAAACCCAAGACCATCCTCATCATTTTGATAACAAAATTTAAAATTAACAACACCAATAATGATGATAACTATAATAAAATGAACAAATAAGCAATAGCTAAATTTACGTACTGTACACCATTGAAAGTGGAGAAAATAAACTACTAGGCCTAAATTAATAATGTAGTACGGTAATTAAAATTCATGTACCGTAGTGTTTTGGTGTGGATAGTGATTATAGGTTTTTGCCTTAAACTTGAAACGAAAACCAACCATACGGACGTTACAAGTAAATACTCTGAATAGGTCTACATCTCTAAATTATTACTTGGCATTACGCTTCTCAGAACTAGAAAAATTACTTAGAATAATCACCCAAATTCGTGTCTATTTTGAGTAATCCACACGCGCAAATACCAATCAGTAATGGCGTGAAATAATTATCATTAACCGTGAACAATAAAGGCAAGTTTACCGACAAACCTTGGCTATTTTATTAACCCATATAAAGCCGACTATAATCTCAAACATATGATTTAAAAGCAGTACTTTGCTTGAGGACAATGCGCGCCACTTTTCGTTATTAATTTGTGCAGGCGATATGATGACGGAAAACGTGTTTATGGCGGGAAAGAGAAAGCATTTTTGTGTACACCTGTTCGGTAAATCGTTAAGCAAATTCATTCAGTCGGAGCTGGAAAGTATCGTAGCACCCCTAGTCTAACACAGATATACGGTACGGTAAATTAAAATACACAACATAACAAATAAGATGTTTTTCGAAGTCCAGCGTGGGCCAATTTGTTAGGTCTATATTATTTTTAAGCTGTGGTGTAGACAAAATACCACAAATTGTATGAACAATCTTTAAATTTTGATTTAAAACTTGAATCTAAACTTAAAATCTGTTCATCAATGACAAAAATCACATTGACAATTTTGAAAAATGGAAGTGTAACGGCGTTAGTCTGCTGTAGAACAATACCGTATACAAAATGACAGAACTTTAAAGACTAACTATATATATATATGCCTACACTTATTTTGTCAAGCTTCCGTCTACGCAGTGGACTTCATCAAGATATTTTTACCTCCCGATTAAATCCACTGCGTGGACGAAGGCTTCAGAAAATATGTCAGTCTTTAAAGTACTGAGCTCTGTTATTTTTTTATGATGACAATTTTCGTAACTTATCTGATTAATTGTTTATGTAAAGGAAAGAAAATAAGCTGTAACTTACAGCGGCACTCGCGGGCGTGGCCAATCTCAATCAGGGACGTAGCCAGGGTTTTGAAAATGGGGGGAGCCGTTTTGCGAGGTACGTAGGCCCCCGTGGGGGTCCAGGGGAGGAGCCCCCTGGAAAGTAGCGCGCTCTGAAAGTTTTTAGGGCTGTTCTGAGATGATAAAGTGAAAATTGCATAATAATATTAGTAAGCCTAACAATAATTAGGCCAAAACTCAACAGTGGTGGATCCATCATTGTAGACCCATTTTACGAGTAAATTCAAATAATATGGATCCATTTTCTTAAAAGTGGACCTTTTTTAAGCAAAAGTATGAAAAATCTGCACCCATTTTCTTAAAAGTTAACCCATTTTACGCAAAATATGAGAAATCTGGACCCATTTTTCAAAAAATTACTCATTTTGTGCTAAAACAGCATAATTTAGACCTATTTTTTAAATTGTAGACTCATTCTTTGTGGACCCAATAGAAAAATTGTGTGGGACTGTCCAACTGTCTCAATAGCTGGCTATCGGCACATAACTCAAAATGAAGCGCCAACTAATTTCTCATGATATTTTATTAGGGATTTTCGGCAAAAATAGAGATCTTATTACTATGTGTGATGTACCCTAGAAAATAAAACTTATAAACATTGTTTTTGGGTACAGTATATACTTTACCGTATATACTTTAAAGCCGTTCTAACCACCTCAGCCCCACCATTGTTGGGCCTAGTGAGGAGCGAAAATTTGAGGAAATAGTACCGGTACCTTTAGATGGCCGAAAATGACACTTTTATATAGTAAAATTCATCATCATCACATCACCATTATTATATACGGTAGTCAAAATGAAACGCCAACAAATTTCTCATAATCTTTTATCAGGGATCTACTTAATATCCAAGACAACTTAGGTCTAACTGTAGCTTACTAGGCTTTAACTATACTATAATAATTGTGATCAACAAATCTCAAATTTTTAATATTATTAATATTATTATCTATTATCACCATCGTTATCATCATTGTCATCGTCATAATTATTATTATTACTACTAGTAGTACTGTAGTATTAAACATATAGAGCTTGCAAAACGATAAAAACCAAACTGAATCATACAATATCACATTTCTGTATCTCAAAGACCTAGCCTGGGACTTAAGGATTTAAGATTTTTAAAATATCACGCTTAGGCCTATGTGTTATTATAGTAGGCATCATGTATAACGCGTGCTGATGCATATTTACATAGATTAGAAGTATTTATTTTGAGTCATCCTTGGAATGAATTTGTATTGGCTAGCAGGAACAAGCTTTAAATTTTTAACACTGTGTACAACAGGGGGACCCCCCCCCCCATCCGTATACGTCCCTGATCGCAACATCATTCCACAACGACGGGGGATGAAGTGAGAGCATAGGTATCAGGCCCGTAGCGTGACTTAATTTGTGGGAGGTTCGTTTCAGTGGAAAGTGGACCCTTATCTCCGTTACTCTGGAGAACATTGTAAATATATCTACGAATATCATTTTTTTTTTCTTAAATTCGGACTCCCCACCACGCTACGGGCCTGGGTATCTCCCTACTTCTTCCGAAAGAAACGTTGGCTTATTTAAACTGAACACAATCCAGGTGTGTACACCAAACCCACTTGGTTTTAAGGGATCTGATATACAGAAGACTTGGAGAGAAGGAGTCTCAAGCCAGCGCATATTAAGGTTTGAAACACCTCTTGCTTATCACCCGAATTTGAAAAAATAAAAAAACAATTATAGTCATAATATACAGGTCTAATAATTATTATATTATTGTAACAAAATAATGACAATATAATAGTCATCGCGGCATTGGTGTTTCTTTTGAAAATTATATTATGCTTTTACACGAGCACGAAACATTATCGCTACCGTGTAATTTACCAAATTGATGGCTGATAATGTCCCTTTAGGCGAGATGAAGTGTGTTATCAAATGGGCCTTACGTCTTAATCATAATCTTCGGAAATTAAGCGAGATGAAAAGAATAATATGTCGGCATTAAAGGACAATCGAAGTAAGTCTTGAGTCAGAAATGAAACCAACATTTTAAATTCTGATGAATCTATGTGTTTATTGAAAAAAAAATGATAAATAGGAAATGACATAAAAATAATTCACAATATTCTATTATGTATAAGAAAACTAAATAATAACGAAATTAGAAGGTAATAAAAATCATAGATTTATTCTGTAAGCACCAATGAAAAAAAATGCTAGCACAATAGGTTATACAATTCAACTTTTTACCGTTACAATGAGTTGTGATAGGCCTATAGTATCAGTATGGCCTAGCGGTGCTTTTTGCATGAACATTTCAGGCATTGCAGAACGGGAAGATTTCAATGAAATAGATTAACAGACGTATTTTTCATGAAAAACATAATATTATTATAACAATGATGAATTTTCATTTTGCAATATCAAGCTAGTGACTATGGATCCAAAAAGTGTTGTGTCGAAGGCGCCGACATTAAAATATTATCCTTATTAGTATTAGTATACGTCGGTAATGTTTGATAAGAATATATCGAACTCGAACATGTTGAACCAAGACAACTGTTGTCGTACGTTGGTGTGTCATTATATGAAATGGGTGGCATGGAAGACAACCTGATATCATGTCCATTCAGATGATGTTGCGCCGTAGACATCGAGTGATGCCCCAGCATAGAAGTGTTTATATTATGCGAAAAGGTATTGCTAAGTGTTTGGTTGTACATCATGGGCTGCGATAGCGTCATACATCCGACATTTGGTGACGACGTCAAAAGTGGTAGAGACGATGGAACCTGGATGTGGGATGACGTCGGTGTTGGCTGGAAGTGATGAACTGGTGCGCTCGGTACGGCACCCAGAGGCTTCGCCAGGAAAGAAGAAGGATACGGTTGTCGTTGGCAGTCCAGTGAAGTAGTTATTAACCCTGGTACATTGCAGTGATTTTCTCTTTTCCATTTCATTCTACGATTCTGGAACCAAGTCTTAATCTGAATATGTAAAAAAAAAAAAACATAGATTTTACTGCATCGCCTCCTTGCAGCTGAAGTACATAAATAACTGCGCATTTTTTATGCTTAAAGCCACCCTAAACGTCATTCATAAAGAACTTGGTAATTATTGAAAGTTCTAACACTACATAGGCCTATGCCCTATGTCAATTTCAAACTATATATACATCAAAATGAGCGTCTTATCTATTCATTTTACCTAATTACTGTCATTGAATGTGTTTTACCAAAACTTTTCGAAAATAAATTGTTTTGTATTGTTTCCAACAAGTTTTGTATACTTTGAATACTCTGGCATCGAGCCAGTTAGCAAACCTATCACTGGTACTTGTACGGCCATTAATAATGCGCCTTTTCCTTGTGGTCACAAAGCGCCAATATACAGTGTCTGTTGCATTTACATATGTCAGATTTTGCCTTACGAAAACGAATACAAATACGTCATCTTCATTATCGTCATTTGTGCCTTAAACATCCTTGACAATACATAATAAATACGAGCTAAATATGATCATGGATTCATGTCAAAGTTATGGATGGCCTACGTTGTGAGACAGATATGCTACTGCAGGGGATGGATTGACTAAACATTTGATGACGTAATCGTATTTGTTATCGTTTTTTATAAGTTTACAAAACCTCAAAATAATTTGGACGAGTGGATGGACGTCTTACCTTAGTATGTGATATACCGATTTCTTCCGATAGGCGCATGCGCTCTTCGGTCGACAGGTATTTCTTCTTCATAAAGGTAGATTGCAGTTCACTTAGCTGCTGACTGGTGAAGACGGTTCGAGCTTTCTTTTTCGATGACGTTGCCCCAGACTGAGAACAGTTGTCAGACGACGATGGCGAAACAAGCGCTGTTGATGAAAATTAAATGTTGTTAAGAGAAGCGTAAGCAAACAATACAAGGTCATATTCTTATGGAATTGAATACCCTTCCTCTAATATAAGACCACCTCCAATTAAAAAGCACTTTCATGTGGTCTCAAATTAATACGTTTCTTATCTTAATTATACTTATTTATACTTATTAAAGCTCAAAGCTGCTAAACCCCGGTCCTAAAAGTGGCCTTAATTAATTGAGAGCAAGCAAGTTCGTAAATACTAGATCATTAATCTTAATGAAAGTAATATAATTGGTTCAAGATATTTTAAAAGTAATTCAATATTTAATTAATCAATTTATTTGGAATAACATTGACATCGGGGCACAGAGTTGTATATCCATGGACATTTGAAAAGACCACCATGTACCGGCAAAATAACTTTGGTAGATTAAACATGCGAAGGCCTACAAAGTAAGTTGATAACATTTGATGCTGTGATTAGCCTAAATATATTCTGTTTTCAATCATTTCCTTCATGGTACGACGTAGAGAGCTTAGTACATTTAATCTTATAAGCGCTGAAAACTTGTTACATTGTTTGTCTCCAGGTACTGTCCGTCTCCAACGTCACTAGTACCGATAATTGTACCTTGGAAAAGAGATCAATCCGAAGCATAGGGAGTAAACAAATTCACAGGATTCGAACTTATGACCTTTTTAAACAGAGCAGCTACAAGAAATACCATACAGTATGTACTCTAAAAAATGCTTACCCTGTTCGGAAGTTGCTACTGCGCTGCTCTGATCATCTTTTGGGGGCATATCAGGTGAGATAGGCCTAATTCCTTCTTCTTTCTTTGGTACAATGTCGGATGATGGATAATTATCCACGTCGTTTGGCTTCCAAAGAGTTTGCGTCGAATATTGGTTTGGCATAGTAACAGGCGGTAATCCGTACATACTCTGAGTTAATGGGTTATACGGAACATTCACGTTTGTGTTATTAGTAGAGGTACGTATATGATCAAAGTGACCAAAAGCCTCAAATAAATTTGATGGATACATATTGCCAATCTTGGATGTAGAGTCCACAGAGTGAGAAGCAGTGTCCAGATACATGTTGTCGCTCTGAAATCAGTGAATCGAATGAAACCAAAGACGAAGACAGGATCTTCTTTACTTGGAATAACACTGGGAGTTTCTAAAGAAGTGTTGACTCCTCAACAAATACCCATGTCGAGAAACAATAGCATCAATTAATTTGTCTCCACAGAGGTACCGCTTTCTATTGTACAAGCAGATTGACTCACGTATATAAAGGCAAGGGAACGTTGCAGACAAAGAGACTGGCGTGGCTGACGACATGGTTCTTGTTTGGCTAGTGGACAGGCCATTGTTTGCCTTTACAGGGCGTGTGCCATGGAGACTCTCCTTTATCTACCAGTGAAGTACCCATACCTCTAATTCAATTAAGGAATTACCTGAATACAAAGAAACTAAAAAGAAACTACAACACCCCATTTCCGAGTAGTGAAGAAATATTTTGACTTAAAATAAAAAGTTCACAATCACAGCATAAGTACCTATTACTTGTAAAAAACACCGAACGTTTACACATTTCGAAAGGTCCACTGATTAATCTTAGATAAGATAGTACAGTATAATACATAACCCAAGTATCGAAATGCACGATGGTGTGCATTTCGATACTTGGTGTATGTATTATACTATTTTACACATTTTTTACACTATTTTACACATACTACATTACACATTTCCATGTCTATCTTGGCCGCATACTAATGCTCTACGGTACTACACGTGTCGGGCTAACTTTACTAACAATACTAATTCAATTTCGAATTGTTTCTATTCTGTCTTAGAAAAATCCGTTCTATAACTTATCATTTTTTCCCTTCGGAAGCATGACTAAAAACAATTGTCGATATTCTAAATTTTAGGAATTTTCTAGTATTTAACAATTGTAGATATTGGTAATACGGAAATCTGATAGCTTATGTGTTTTTTAATGAGCAATTAAAATTGTTTTATAATTTTTACGTGGTGATTTGGTGAAAAATTAAGTATTTTCGTATAAAAGTTTGAAACCATGTTTCAGTGGAAATGGAAGGTAGATCATTTTATTATTTTCGCTGATTTAGGACATTTTATTACGAAGAATATCTTGCAATACAGTACTTCTAAAATATAGTTTGCCCAAATCCCTAAAATCAGCCGATACATAATTAAAAAATACTGTACAATAACGGATGATCATCACATCTTACAAGCGAATCATTTAATATCTTCGTTATTGAAATTCAGTTGGTGCACATCGGGTGCAACAAGCTCATAATCGCTTCGTACTTTTGAAGTTCGTAAACTTAAACTACTCCCATTTCTCGTATTATTATTATTTGAACTTTACTTTACTACATATCCTATCACCACAGCAACAGTTAAGCCTATCTATACTTTACATTGCAACTTGTGTATGAATTTGGTTTTAAATTGTACAGGTTTTAAATTGTATAGGTCTAGTCTGAACAAATCTGAAAATATCCTTGTAAATAATGTACACATGGTTATCTACTGTACAGTATTTCCAAAGTTGTTTTGTTTTATTTTAATTTGTGTTCCAAAACAGATGCACGTTCCTTGTATTGGATAATTATTTCACTACTCATAATTAGTGTAAACTTTGGCTCCATTCTGTGAATAAGAACGGACATGTTGATTTCACGTGCTGCGTATACAAAGGTTGACAAAACTCGGCGTCAATTTGTAGTCTACTCGTCAAATGTACTGTGCCGTTGTCAATTCAATCAATTGTTATTAGGCGATGTAACACCATCATTATTTATCGTTGTCTACAGTACAACTCTGTTCTCTCCCCTACTCCCTATCTTGCCGTAAAATAATAATCTCGAGAAGCCCATCTCAAATTGAAGCCCCTTCTTTAGTTTGCAAAACTAGCCTCGAAAAGCCCATATACAGCAGTAATTCCCAAAATTTACAGCATTCATTTTGAAAAGAAGGCCCCTGTTTACTTTGCAAAAGTAGATTCGAAAAGAAGCCCATACCGAAAAGAAGCACATCCAAAAAAAAGGAAAAAAAAGAAGCCCAGCGGTTCTATTCAAGGTTTTCCTCCTGTATTTAGCATACAATACGAATAAAACTAATAGCACTAATCACACGACAACTAAACAAAACAATTGCAATATACTACAATATCAGATTTCTTGTTTTTATTCAAACTTCTAACAAAAAACACATTTGTAGGCCTACACATGATTATTCCAATGTACATTGATGGATTACAAATCAACAAAAGTTAGCAAGTAATACTATTGACTGTCCTCAAAAATTAAAGAGGTTAATAGCATCGCATAATTTCAACTTCTTATTATTGAAAATCAAGAAAATTACAACTTAAGCAGACACGCTTCCCGCATACTGATCATTCTTAATACAATAATTTTCAAAGTTTAATAGGAAGAGATGAACTTAATAACTGTTTAGATTATGCACCGTACACTTAGGTGTTACCAATAATCAAATTTCAAATAATTCAATATAAAAGTATGTCAATCTTTTCTTTTATCTTATTCTTGTTTTATCCTTTCCATAATATCACTACCTTTTACGTTTATCATTATCGTATCTTTCAATTAATGTATTAGGTGTTTTAAATGAAATAAAAACACCTAAATGCACTAAAGGTATCTCTAAATACCACAACTTTATGTAAAAGTTCATATGCAAGTTTACACATTTTAAATGCTTCGTAAGTCAATAACTTTACTGTTGCATTAATTATCCACAATTGAGAGTTAAATTTTTCACTAGAGTCCAGTTGAACATTTTTGCTGCCAATGTGCTCAAAACACGATCATACCCAACAACGCAAAGAATACATAGTTTCTAGACTGTAACACTAGAAATTTTAATAAAATCCTCCTTTTATGCTGCACAGTATAAGCATAGCCTCCCACAGTGTAATTTTTCTCTGAGAATTGATATTCTCAAAGAAAAGTTTGAAACCAATCAGACTTACTAAACTTTAGTTATCATGGTAACAATGAAGAAATATTGCAATTTCCACTACATTAGAAAAAGAACAATAGTTTTGATGAAATTCAATGGTAAAATTAAAACTTAGAAATTTAGATCTTGGCTCTTTTAGGCCTCACAGCCATACCATAGACCAAGTCTAGATGGAGAAATCACTAGGCTTGATGAAATAAGGTGATTGATTAAATATATATAATCAATTATTGACAAGATTAAAAAATTATGGGCCTTTCAGAAAATAATGTTGAAAAGTGTTCAAGGCAAATAAAAATTAGTTTAATACAATATAAAAGTCTATTCTAAATGGCGTTCAAACACAAAACATATAAAAATATAATTAGCTTCAAGACCGTCTCACTGCAGGTCTAAAATTTTGCATGCAAATAAAAAAAATTATCTATTTGTAATGATTAGTGAGGGCGCACTTCAACGCAAATGTAAAGACACGCCAGTATACAATTTGCATACATTTTTTCCCGTCCAAAAAAAGGTTCACTGCTATTTACAAAGTTAAAGTGATGTTATTAAGATGCTAAAGGTGTTACATTGTTGTAGAGTTGTATGAACAAATCCTGACTATATGCAGGATTTGAACTTAAAACTCTGGAATAGGAAGGCAGGCACCATCCAATTATTGGCCCTGTACAAAAAAAACCAGCTTAAATGCATGCACAAAAAGTAAATATTGTGCTATACTCTCTCTTTTTTTTTTTTTGCATCTTTTGCTTCTACTGTCAACTTCGATAACAAGACACATTTATTAATGTTGAAGATATGGAAATATGCAAGAGTAAAAGGAACAAAATTCAGACTAGATTTAACCTCTAGTTACAGTACATGCTTGATATACAGAAGCCTTACCAACTAGGCCACTATGCTTTATGGAGAAAAGATATGGATGCAAGTTTTTAAATATACACGATGATGATAAATACAGTAACACATAACAGACTTCAGAAACACTATTCCAAAGTATCATTATGGAAAGAGGTTAAAGCTTGTAATGTAAATGCTGCATCTCTCAAGATGAGAAACCGACTGTTCCATTATTCCAAGAGGGAATGTATGTAAAGTGGAAAATGCATTTGTATTATTCTTACATGGCGTCTGATGCTATTTCAGAACACATAGTTATGTTAAAGCTAGCTAAACTATTGCAGTTGTTTCTTAACAATGAATAGCCGTTGCTGTATGTAAGTGCTGTTGCAACATACAAGTGTTGCATTAGTGTATAACTGTATTTCACAGAAGGTAACAGTAGTTATAATTTGGAAAAAGGGAAAGACATCATGTGACAACTGCCAACCAATTAACATGCAAGCCAACAACAAAACCAATTACTTTTTCTAAAGGATCACAAGTTGTCGATTTTCAAGCAAAAGATGTTTGTAACAAATGTAAAAATGTGAAACAATAAAATAATAAACGTCAACTACATTTGTTCTGCAGTAAAAGAAATTACGTGATTTCTAGCCAATGGCAGTAGCAATCAACAACGAAATCACCTACGATTCTGAATGATCATAGTCTTTAGAAGCAGAAAGAGGCAATGGTATGCTGTTGGTATTAGACTGAAATAGCCATTTGCTGGGCTTGCCAATCAGAAAAGATAATTATACACAAAATTTCTGTTACTATTTCTAACCAAAAATACATTGGATTTTCCATGAAATACCACTACTTTGCTGAACTCAATAAAACAAAAAAAAAGTCAACCAGACTTCTGTGAAGGTTGTGATTACTATCAAAGTTCGCCCAGCTATAATGGTGTCGGGGACATCTCCCCCACCTGCTACTACTGCAACCTAGGTGCCTACATAAATTTTTCATTTGAAAATCTAACATTTTCAACAGAAACTTTACAAAAATACAGAAATACAATACCAAGTAAAACTACTTGCTTTTGGTACTGGGAATTAATGCTTTTATACTTAAATGTTGTTGTACAGTGTACACTCATTACTAACAGGAAAGTGTCATTTTTATTTTCCAGTGAATATATTTGAGAACATAGATGCTTGGAAATAACCATCCAATAAAAGAGGACAATGCTTTCGTACTGGAAATTAATGCTTTTATACTTAAATATTTGTGTACAGTGCACACTTATTACTATCAGGATAATGTCAATTTTATTTTCCAATGAATATTTTTGAGAACATAGATGCTTGGAAATAACCATCCAATAAACGAAGACTATGCCAATATTTTTGGCAGAAGATTAATGCCATGCTAAAGATCCCCATAATTAGTTGATGGGTAATATGGAATAGCATATTTTGCAGATTTTGTAACATTTTTCAATATCAGTCAGTTAAATACATCTCAACGTCCCGTCACAATGAATTTCTTGTGTGATAGAATGACCAGATGAGATCATGAATGGATGGTTACAAAAGGCAAGACCACGCCCACAGTCAGGACTGAGGTTCCTATGCAAGCAATGTTTTATTTATGCAATGATGGAATATACTGCAGTGGTTTGACATTTTTGGTAAAACTTTTGAAAGAAGACGGGAGCTTATGCTTGGTGTAGGCTAGCCCTTTAATATACTGTCTAGTATAATTAATATTGCCTACTACCACTACTATTAGCTGAACAATGGACCGCCCTGGAGAGGCAATCAAACTTAACAAATGACCAATCAAAAGAGAGCAGGTATTACAACCACAAATGCATACTATGTCTTAAAACCACACGTTCACATGTTTATGCTGTCACTTCCAAACAACATCCAAAAGGGCAGGGCTCAGTGGAACGGTCCAGTAGAGAATGCTTATATTATAGCGATCCTACAACTACAAATCAGGTTCTGAGATTGACATCTACAGCAATTTGACTTGTGATGTACTGCAGACATTAAGGAGCTTTTGATTGCACGACGGCGGTAGGACGTAGAACGTAATGACGTCACTAAAAGTCATCTGCACATACGAGAATGTTAAGGTCACCTCGTTGAGCAGATTCTGGAATGCAATTTGGCCAAATCTATGTATACAGAGAATGTAGGACACCAGGTAAGATGGTCACAAATGAGTGATCCCGTTGTAGCATCGCGTCGTCACGTAAATCGAAAGCTCCCATGGTGTTTTATTATACACAAGTGACCCCAAATATGGAAAGGGGGGGATACAATTTAACCAGAGTAGAGAATTGCATAAGATTGAACTGCCATCATTTTTTATGCACATAATGAAACATACTACAGGATAAGGACGCCCTATTCAAGTAGTTCGCTCGAAACTCGTCTTTTAAAGGACAGGCCTACTACTTGGTAGTACTTTTTTAAAATAGGTTCCGACAAAACCACGAGAGTCGGACCTCTTGCAGTTCTATACTATTTGATATAAGCCATTCGGTTTTGCTATTCATCGAAAATGAAATCGCTAAAAATCTGAGATCATTGGCATGCCCAACACCAAAATTCAGAACCAACGTGTGAACAGTTTTCTAGTTTGCTTGTTTACAAACTCTGTGAAATACATTGCAGGTATGAAAATGACACCCAAAAGCTTCCTTTCCTAGTGATGGTATGCGTAGGAACCAAAAATTTATCGTCCCACATAATTTTTGTGAAGAAATATATACTTTTTATTCGGCCGGTCCAAAACCACATCCAGAATGTAAATAAATTTGACCAGCAATATAAATTTTGTGCGTTTAGATTAAGGCATAAGGGCCAAGGCAAGCTGTTTCTTTCAGTGCAAACAGGGCCCTATTAAAAGTTGTAAATTATCTCTATGCCTTATGGTATAGAAAAGCATAAATAGCAAGTTCTACACGAAATTGCTTGCGTGGAGGAAAAAATGTATTTCTTCCATCCATTTTTATTCATGCAGTTTTCAAGACTGCAATGAACAGGTGCATTAAATTAAAATGCCTTTGTGAGAATAGTGATCAATGTTCAAGAGCCCCTCCCAGGGCGCCTCCGTAATGTCGTTTGAATTAGATGGAGGAAATTAAGAATAGAATAAACCATGATTAGGTTGGATCCAGGAATTAGCAACGCAAGTACAGGTGGACATTCTCGGTAAAACAAATTCATTTTTTTTCCTAAAAACAAATTCATTTTTTTTTCTTCAGGAGTGCTTTCAACATGTCAGGCACTCTTTGCATTTGGATAAACTTTGAGCAGAGGTGGATCCTAGAGTTTGTAAGAGAGTGCATATAAAACAGGGAAAGGAGGCGGTACCAAAGAAAATACATTTTGAGTAAATAAAATATTTTCTTAGCAGCAGTGCTTACAACATTGCTTCCTCTGCTGAGCTTTATAATCATTCTCTCAAATCTTCTGTCTACCGATTCAGTAGTTGTTTTTTTAACTGCTCAATCTCTCTTTGCTGTTGTTCGTACTTCTCCCTCAAATCAGCATCTACAGCTGCGGATGGTGAATACGATGGTCTCTGAGACGACAGAGGCGTATTGTGTAGAGCAGTATGTGCGGGTGCTGGATGAGCAGTAGCTGATGGAGGAGATGAGCTCTGGAAAACCTGTAAATTAAGTAACGCTACATTTATTGACTGAAGTGGATTTACGAAATCAATAAAAAAAACTGCAGAAGCCAATATTCTATTTTTCTGTAATAATAAATACACAAAACTACTTTTATCTACAACATCACAAATGATTGAAGAAACTGTCTATCTGTCTGTGTATCAGGTCTAATCATCACCACAATAATATTATTATTTTGGTCTTAATAATGCTTCATGCCCACAAGGCCTCCAACACTCCACAATGTTACAGTCCATGAATTAAACGCATATAGAGCACTTAATCACTTCGACAATGTAATACTGTAATGTGCATTTTTCTTCCTTTTTCAATTGCCATTCTTTAAGTAAATGTCATCATCTCACCTTATTAAGGATAGCACCGGTGTCAGGATCCGTCAACTCCACATAATGCCATCCCTCTCTACATGACAAGAGCTTTACAGTCATGCACTTTCCGCCATTTCCGTTCAACTCACTGAATCTGTCGATTGAACTTTGAGACCAAGTGCTACCTAGATCTGGTCGAGTTCCTGTTGCGCAAAGATAAACAAAACACCATAAAAAAAATCAACAGACAGGCACAAAAAAAAAGTTGCAGTAGTGGATTGATAGGGGGGGGGGGCAGTCAGTCTGTGGGGGTGCCTAAATTTTTACAAAATTATAAAAAAAGGTACCATAATCATAGTGATTTTTCTTACCTCTGCCCCAACCGAAGTGGGGCTGAAGTATAAAGAGTCTCTATATTTCAAATTCCTGGATCCGCCACTGAGTTGTGTTGCCCCGAGCACAGATATGTTTATGTATCTAGGTCATTTGTTCAGTTGGCTTCTAAACCCCATAAATTTTGGTTCGTGACATGGTAACTACATGGCTAACTCCAATTCTTAATGGTATTAAATTCATTAACTAAAGTTTTAAAAAACAAAAATCAAGTATTTTGGGTTCCTATATTACAGCAACCCTAGAATATAGTAATTTTTGGTCGGTCAAGCATGGAATAGTTGAAATGCATAGATAACTAGAGCAGTCGCTCCATAGAGCGCATACCTCTATACGAGGGACAATTCCATTATTGTTCCAAGGGTGAATTGAATTTCCTAGAAATTGACCTTTTTTCCGAAAATTGAATGATGTCTTTCTTCAATTATTGTGTACCATCCATTCATTAGTTTTTGTTTAATCTTGCTAAAAGTCTGAGAGAGACAGACAGAAATGAATATATACCCTCCTTGGCAGAGGTCATGATAAAAACTTATTCATAAACATACCTGATAGGCAACACTTAATAGCTAGGCAAGGTGGATCAGACAAAAGTGTTTCATCAAGTGGGTGAACAGTAGCTAACTTCACGTTCTCTTTGTTTCCATAGTCAACGTACTGTACTGACACATTTTGGTTGTTGACATCCAATACTAAGGCTCTATACCAACCCTGATCATCTTTAGAAGAAAAAATACCAAAGCAATATTTATGAATCAAAATTAAAATCATTTATTTTGCCTTTCATTTCAATTTAAATGTATTCAAAAAACCTCCAAAACAAAGAGATAAAATGCATAACAAACACATTCACGTAGGAATCGACACATCATATGAAAATACATTTAAAAAAACACCACATGAAAATACAAATGAAAATCAAACGATCAAGTTCAAATAGAAAAACATTTCAATAAAATAATGAGATAAATATGAATTAGACTAGAAGTAAACTCTTAAATGTTGGTATAAAAGGTCTCTTTTTTATTTTTTTGTTCTATTGTTTATTTAAGTCTGGTCTGGTGGTTAAATTATCTAAAAGTACATTCCGGTACAGCAAACATGAAACATTGGTACAGTCAACCTGGAACGTTGTCTCACCACAGCTTGTACTGCTTATTATGGGAAATCATACGTTAAATGTACTTAATAATTATATTTGAAGTTATAGTAATGTGAAATAGTTTATTTAACGCTGTCCATCCATATGTTAGATGCACTTAATAATGATATGACTGTTGATGTGAAATGGTAGCATCATACTGTATATTGATATGTAAATACATTAACGATGTATACTGGTATGCAAAACTGTAGCGTTCTTGTTTGAAGCTGTGCATCCATACGTTAGATGCTCTTATTTCAATATTGTAACTATACACATTCGTATAGTGGTGGATAATATACCCCTGATCCTTTATTGTAGATCCTGTAGATTTATAACAAAGACTAGGAGGCAAGCAAAGAAGAGGTTCTACCTTCAAATATACTACAACATAAGTCTCCTTTCCTAGGCATATAATCCATGTTCTTTCCTTTGTTGGAGTACTTCATGTTAAGGTTATCCATCAGGTTCTTAAGTGCAAGAATATCTAGAACATAAAATCAATTTTCTAATTAAAAGAAATGTTGTACTTATATTTCAACAAAATACACTGTTAATTTACAGATGTTGTTTGAATGTTTGCATGCTGAAGTAAAAATACATTAAGCGCTTGCGGGTACACCATGTAGATAGTTCTGGAAGTACTGTTGTTCAATTATCTAAATTATCACATGAAATGACTTTTTTTTTATTGTGAACAAATTATAAATCTTGTTGATAAAAAAATACTGGAAAATAATTAATGAACATAAATAATGTATGAACATAAGGCAGCCCTTACTTCCATGCAAATATTATTCCAATAAAATAACAATGTTACAGTTATTTAGTATATTACAATATATAATTAGGATAAATTAAAGTCAAAGTAAAAAAAGTTCCATAAAGTAATACAGTTCTGCTGTTGTTTCAAGACCACCTATTATAGACAACTCTTTTGTGGGCCAAAATAACATATGCTAAAGACTCATGGATCCCCAGTCCCAAAAGTTACCTATAATTTTAGGAGACCAGTAAAGTAAGAAATACTATTCTTTTTTAAATATATTTTAAAAAAACAGGAATAACAGAATATTAAAAGTTATAATATAATTAATAACAATGATAAAAGTAATAAACAATAAAATCTCTCTTCCTCACCATCAACTCTTGTACAATAAAACTCTGATGGGTTGACGACGAAGACAACTGCCACCTTTTCTGTTTGCTGTATCTGTAGCTCTCTGTACCTGATTGTTGGTGCTTCATATTTAATGGCTTCTAGTAAAGCAAATAAAGGAATATTATATCAAATACATTCTATATAGCAATCAGAAGCTAGAAAATGAGGTCATGCTAAGTTATTATCATCAGCCTGTACAGATTTTACATTATTAAAATGCTTATAGCATTCTAATTAAGGAGTGGTTTTTAATCATGAGTATTTACACTGGTTTTTACATGGTTTGAACCCAGGAGGCTGTGATTGGAAGGCAGACACCATAACCACCAAACCACTTTACTCCAAAACCATAAAACTGGAAGGATGAATGGATTTATTTGGTGTAAACAAAAAAGGATAACCCACGACAAGTCTAAAAAAGACTTATTTCCAATAGGGTCCTTCTGGTGGTGATTGGGCAGTACACTGGGAGACAATCCCCTACTCTTTTCCATAGAGTGTACTGCATTCTTTAACATGCTCATGAACAATAATGCACGCAGGACCAACAACTTAAAACGTCTTATCCGAAAGACGGTAAGCTATTGTAACTTGCATTTTAGCCTGCCAGCTGAAAAGGAAACTTGGAGATGTTCACGGTTCAGTGCACACATAGTGGCTACCACCAGTCTAGTTGACTGAGCTAAGCTGCTCTCTATAAAACTAATACTTTACATTTATATACTCAAAATACATGGAACAATAATTAATGAGTAATCCATCCATACCATGTATAATTTTGGATTACTTGTAGTATACTATGTCCAAGCTTCCTTACTAAGTTGGGGAATATTATTGTGAAATATGTTTAGTGTGTGTCTTACGGTCATTCTTCTTTGGAGAGGGCGCTTGTGCAGCAAATTCCTCGTTGATTGGCTTGGTTGAACCTGGCTTGTCAAAAACTTCCACAAGATTGACACCCTTTGGTGTAACACCAACACTCCTTAGTCTAACCAGCTGGTTGAGAAACTGAAAAATAAATTTCAAATAAAAATAATTATATAACTTAAATAGCATTCTTCATTACATTAAAAGGTGTACGGTTGCCTTTTTCACCTTTCATCTTCTTATATCTTTTTGCTGTTTTCGTGATGTTGGTCCTTTTTGTCGTTTATTTTCAATGTTGATTGCTTGGCTTTTTAACTTTTCCCTACTACTTTTGTGAAATTAAACCCTCTTAGTGAGTTGCAATAAAGAATGATTTGATGATTTGACTACTTTTTTTCAACCTGTTTCTTGTTGGAAGCCAATAATTTATTTCATTTTTTTTTTTAAATGAGCTATTCAATTTTTTTTTTTTTTTTTTTTTGAGGTATTTTCCTGTATTTTTGACTGATAGCACATCTTTAAAAAAAAAAAAACATGAATTGCTCAGATAATGAGTTAAAATGATCAAAAAGTGATTTAATAATTACCTTATTTTAGATATAAGAACAAACAAAAGGTAAATAATTCATTTGATCAACATAACACTACATAACACTGACCTTGTTCACAAAGTGTTGTGACATCTTCTCATTTGTACTGCTTGATGGTGCAATACCCGATAGAGCACACGGTACAGCAACAATCGGAATTTTAGAATATGGTTCCCGGATCTTACGAACATCTTCCACTCGTACCGGATCAATGTTACCATAATCTACAAACTTTACACTCAGACAACTACTGCTAATGTCGAAGACCTCCGCCCGATACCAGCATCCATCATTAAACTTGGCGATACACAACTCCCCGACGATCGGTGAATGTACATCCTTAATCCTGTCATAGTCATTAGACATCGGCTCTGATATTTGAACCAATGCACGGTGCACATCCTGGTTTTTTATCTGCACATAGAAATCACTAAGTCCATTTGCAACTACAATCATTCCAGTTTCCAATTTATCTTTGGTCAATGATATCTTCTGGCAGTTCGCTGCCATGACTGGGCTTGGTGCAGGCGAGTTGTCATAAGGTCTTCTAGAGTTGAAATTCCCAGCACTTTGACTACCAAACTGTTCATTATTTCTGTTGAAGCCTGGGGATGTCCTGCCACCTTGGTTATTTCTAAAGGAATTGTTCCCTCTTTGTTGAAAGGTTCCTTGATTACCTCTTGGACTTCTTGACTGAGAAGTTGATGGATGATTCGGACTCACTCTTTGCTGAGATGCTGCAGTACTAGCTTTTGGCTGGAACTGATTTGGACTTTCTTGTCTGCTAACAGGAGTATCTTGTAATTTTGGTACCTGCAACATTGGTCCTTCAAGGTAACGTGCATGCTGTTGAATCCCAGTTTGTGGACTGTCGCCAGTAATTAACTCAACACTCAGCATGCCATTTGACTTTTCTAACACCCGTACACTGACGGGCTTTCCTTCCATTTCTTTCAAGGACATTAATGATACACTTGAGTTGGCCAAACTACAGACAATTCCTTGTTGAGGTAGTTTTAAGAGATCCTTTGGAAGGGGATGGCAGTCTGTCAAAGGAATGTCCTCTTCGTTTCCATAGTCCACATATAATACCTTCAATTTTGAGCCACCTCGGGCCAAGATTCGACCACGATACCAGCAGTCATCAACAAACTTAGTTGCACACACCTCACCTACCTGTGGACTACAAAGCAAAACCAAATAAAATTTACAATAGTAATTATGATACAAAATTGTAACATTGTTATGTTATGTCACAAATGGGCATTCTTTGTAATTGAACATAAATATCTGTTGATGAGAATTAAACCAACTACGTACGCTAAGTTTATAGGTTGTATTAAATTGATGAGCTGTTCACTAGTGGAGACACTTTTTTGTTAGTGACGTTGTTTTATGCAATGTAAGCTTTCAAGTTACAGTTTGAGCAAAAGGAATTGTTACATCAGGATTCAAACCCATTAACCTCGGAAAACATTATACCTGTAGGACTGATTAGGTGGAAGTATGGAGTACCGGTCCAAAAGAACCCTCTGAAGCTGCATCAACGACACAGCATTTTCCTTTAAAGTGGTGTAGACAGCGGACACACTCTCCACTGTGGTAATCAGCAGTTCTAGTCTCTCACCATTAGCTGGAATCGTGTCAATGATGGATGGGAGATGCACAGATGGTGTTTGCTTAGTTTCTACTAAGTGTTCTTTGATGAGTTCTTCACTGACAGAAACTCCTGCAATAAACATTTGCTCTTTGTCATCCACAAATAAGTGTTTGCTTACTTAGTGCAAGATATTTCTAATTTTCTTGAAAAACTTATTATTATTATTATTAGTGCCTTAGTTTGTACTAAGTGGTCTTTGATGAGTTCATCACTGACAGAAACTCCTGCAATAAACATTTGCTCTTTGTCATCCACAAATAAGAGTTTGCTTACTTAGTGCAAGTCATTTCTAATTTTCTTGAAAAACTTATTATTATTAGTGCCTTAGTTTGTACTAAGTGTTCTTTGATGAGTTCTTCACTGACAGAAACTCCTGCAATAAACATTTGCTCTTTGTCATCCACAAATAAGAGTTTGCTTAATTAGTGTAAATCACTTCTAATTTTCTTGAAAAACTTATTATTATTATTATTATTAGTGCCTTAATTAACAGATTGCACCACTAATACACCTGTAGGTTAGTTGGTACCGTTATACCGGGGTAGCTCAGACACTAAACAGACCTTAAGCATGTTGCTGTATGAGCTAGTCCACACTTTGAGCGCTGTAAGACCGCTCCAGTATAAAGCACTAAAGAAATCCAACTACATTACATTACAACAAACACCAAACACGATTTTTTCCTGCTAAGCACCTCTCTAGAATACACACCACAGCCCACTGAGCTTATCAGAAATATATTCTAATTTAAATAAGTGTGCCTTAATGTTTCATATCATAGAGTACTACAGTGTTACGTCACGATACCATGTGATACTACTCCGTTAGTATCGTTGCAAAATGTGTTCAACCCGACGCCATTTTTGCCACTAACAAACCATTGATCCAAATTTCTAACGTAATTATTAAAATGTTGTATCTTACTTTTCCTTTGTAAATTGATGATTAAATGTGTGTTCGATAACTAATATAATGCGAGCTTTTGTGTTTTTAGTACATTTTGATGGTAAAATATTAGATTTTAAAATGCCTATTCCAGAAAGCCTATGTAGTCATTCTGAATGGTGACCTACGACCTACGTCTGTTGACGCCACCTGGCGTCATGACGACACGACTGTGGTACTCTATAGGAACACTTATTATATAATAAATTTCTCACACTGAAAATATTCACATTGTAACAAATTAAATAGAGCCATTTGCAACACATAGTACCATTTAACAACTCATTAATTTGTAATGAGTGTGGCAAAGACAAGCCAAACCAGTCACTCGTCGCAAAAATCGATCTTGTGTTATTAATACAGTCTTAGAGAGTAAATTAATAGCTATAAAATGGTAAAAAAATCATTCAAATCGGACATTTCCTTATGAAGTTACAAGCGTTTAACCACACAGCTGTTTAAAGAACAATATATGAGAAATCAGTTTATGATTTAAGGCATTTCCCATGCAGAAACTACCTTTAAATCCTTAAATTGTGTTGTTTTAACATTGAAAATTGGGAAAATAATAGCATAGGATGGTGTGTAGATATATAAAGGTTAGTTTAGAGCAATAAAATAGATTTTTTTAAATTTGACATTTTAGCATGTTTTGGCCATTTTCTCTGAAACACAATTTGCGACGAGTGACTGGTTTGGCTTGTCCTTGCCACAAGTGCAAAAATGAACCCTCCAAAACTCTAAAAATGGTTTTTCGTCATTTACGGTAAAACCACTAACAATTTTTTTCATTCTAAATGACCATGGAAGTAACAATTTAACTCAACGAAGACTGGAAAAAAATGTTGTATGTTTACCATCAACTAGCTTGTGAGCCAATGATGCATACCTTGGTCACTGGTGATACAAGCTGGATAAACTCCATTTTCAGCTGCCTCTAGTTTCACTTCGCACTGTTTGTTTACCAGCATCTCTGACAAGAGTTGAACGGTCTTAGATGACCACTGTCCATCAACTGGCTCGATACCCATCAGCCTACACTGAGCGGCCTACAAGGAAAAAAAACCAAATTGAAGTTAACCATAATATGTATGATTGTACTAAAATGCGGAAAAAATACATTCATCATCAAATTTTTAACTGAGAGATAATATTAACATAAAAATAGATGGATGGATGTATTTGGTATATACACCAAAGAAAACCGACAACAGTCTGAAGACTTCCACCTTTGGTGGTGATTGGGCAGTACACTAGGAAGCAATCACTACTCTTTTCCCAAGAGTGTACAGGCCCGTAGCCAGGTCATTTCAAGGGGGGTTCTCTGGGCGTGGGGTCCAGGGGTTGCCTAAGGGCCCCAGTGGGGTGGGGGGGCGAAGCCCCCGAAGCCAGAGCAGTTTTTGTGTTTAATGGGTCTATATAATGTTATAAAAGCAGTTATGTTTTGAAAAAGATCTATGTAATAAAAGGTAGTAATATAATAAAATTGGAAAAATTTTTCTGAGAATTAGCATGTTTAAATCACACCGAAAGATAAAAAAGAAAAAAAAACCTCATCGTATAATCAATATCAGTATACTCAACACATTATTATAAAACAAAACAAGCTATTATATAGGCCTATAAAGTAATTTACAAAGAAGAATTATGTACTGTGCTTCTTTATATATATAAAACATTTAAGAAGTGTTGTCTTGTTTTAACTTAAATAATGAATCTTCCAGTAGGCCTATATAAACAAATATAGCTGCCTGTTACAAAATAAAGTAGGAGCTGAACTTCTTTTTGACTCTCATCTTCTACACTGAAAATAATATTAGGCCCTACTATTTTTACTACATGGCTAAAAAAGCACAAATATTGTCATTACTACAACTGACAGGGCCATCATTAAATTAAGTCAGAGCCCAAAATATAGCATCATATCATATGTCATCTGACATCATGGGAACCTAAACTTTAATTACAATTATTTGTTTACTAGGCCTAATTCAAAATTATTATTTTAAGACTTTAACCTAATACATACTGATTAATAATAGCTGAGATTTGATGCACATTTCAGAATTAATAATCATTTTTAGTATCTTACTGAATATGTATTGTCTACCAAATGAAATATGAATTATATATAAATCTTTAGAAATACAATTTCTACAATATTAATCTTGTTTTTATATAGATAAATGTTCGATAAATCTATCGTTCATAAAACAAACGAAATTCAGCGCGTCTATTTTCATTCCAATCATGGACCTATTAATAATGTCCATGTTCCAATCAATGGCGTTTGTAAACATGTGCACTGATGTTATCGTCGAATCCCAGGACTTTCGACGGCAATGCTGGCCTGCCTGCCTAGGTCCCAGGCCAACCAATAATAATTAACAAAATGTATTTTTTTAAATATAGGCCTATGGCGCATCCTAATACATGCTCTTCAACTTTTACAACAAAAGCCTAGGCCTAGTAGTACGTCCTACTGTACTTAAGCCTAGGCCTACACTAGTTTGATGTCGTCGGGGTACATCTGTCTCTAAATGCAGCGTGAACACTAGGGAAAATCAAAATTCCCAAGATGGGGTTTAAAAGATTGCTTTTAAAAACCCAAGATTCGCAAAATATTATTATTGCCTATATACATAAACTTCATTTTAAAGTCCTTCATTTTAAAGCTTTTTCAATGAATTATATACTGTACAGTATTTTGTACTGTATAGGCCTTAACGAAGTGTCTGGATTTTCGAGAAAAGAAACTCGTTCGCTTTGGGCCTACTCTGTGCGTCCGTGGAAAATCCTTTTTGGTGACTAAAACGTGATATCATTTCCTCTGGCATTGTATGTTAGGCCAAGAGTTCGAAGTTTGTGCGCAATTTCACCCATTCGATATTAACAAAGTCAGTACTTCACACACATTA